AAAAAAAAAAAAAAAAAACCAAAAAACTCAAGTAGTCAATGTTATAGAAACAGAAAGTATAATTGCAATTGCCATGGGCTGAGAGAAATGGAAAATGGGAAGTCATTCAATGGGTATAAAGTCGTTCAATGAGTACAGAGTTTCCGTTTTTCAAGTTACAAAGCCTCCTCATGAGAACACCCTTTGAGCAATGACTGATGGAAGAGACTGACACGTATACAGACAACTGATTTTTGTCAAAGGTACAAAGGCACTTCAGTGGAGACAATAGACTTTTTCAAAAAACAGTGCTGAACCAACTGAATACTCATATGCAGAGAAATAAACTTTGATCCATACCTTGGACCATGTACAAAAATCAACATGAAATGGATCACAGACCTAATGTAAAACATGAAACTATAAAGCTTCCAGAAGAAAATGTAGGAAAAAACTCCTGAGAACTTGAGGTAGGCCAAAGTTTCTTAAGATGTGACACCAAAACACAATCAACGAAATACAAACTAAATTAGCTGGGTGCAGTAGCACACATCTGTAGTCCTAGCTACTTTGGAGAACAAAGCAGAAGAACTCTTTCAGCTCAGGAGTTTGAGGCTGCAGTGAGCTATAATCACATCACTATACTCCAGCTTGGGTGACGGTGGAACACCCTGTCTCTTTAAAAAAAAAAAAAAAATCTGCCCTTCAAAAAGCACTGTTAATAAAAAGAAAACCCACAGTCTGGGAGAAAACATTTGCAAATTGTATATATTACAGAGGACTTGTATCCAGACTGTGAAAATAATTCTCAAAATCCAGAAAGAAAATTTTTAAATGGGCAAGAGATTTGAACAGACACATCACCAAAGAAGATAGAAGGATGAGAAGCACATAAAAAGATACTCAACATCATTACTCGTTAGAGAAATGTAAATTAAAACCAAAATGAGCTTTAACAATATACTGCCTTTCATAAAGGCTAAAAAATGTAAAAGACAGACAGTGTCAAGTACTGACAGGATGTGGAGGAACTGGAACTCATACTCCCGGTAGAAATGTAAAGTTATACAACCAATTTGGAAAGTTGTTTGGTAGTACCTTAAAAAGTTAAATATAAGGCTGGGCATAGAGGCTCATGCCTATAATCCCACCTCCAAGGCAGGAGGATCACTTGAGGCCTGGCATTCAAGACCAGCCTGTGCAACAGAGAGACCTTGTCTTCTACTAAAAAATATAAATAAAAATTGCCTGGGCACGGTGGCTCATGCTTGTAATCCCAGCGTTTTGGGAGGTTGAAGTGGGCAGATCACTTAAGGTCAGGAATTTGAGACCAGCCTGGCCAAACATGGTGAAACTCCA